TGCATAAAAAAAACTGTTACAATTTACCTATGTTTAATCCCTTGTATTGAGCAATTTGGACTAAATACTGGATCAGTAACCTCATTTAAACAATGTGGATCCTCTAGTTTACATTTTAAAACTAATCTTTGTCCTTTAGGACCCTTAGACTGAACATTGTACTGCCAAAAAAATCGATCCTTATGTGAAGATGATTTAGCAGATGTTCCACCACAATCACTGTCTCCTGAATCTATCAATTTAAAAATTATAAGGCAAAAATATTTTTCCTGTTGGTACCTATAAAAATGCATTTATTAAAATCTAACCATTATCAGATGAATAGTCTTCTTCTTGTTCTGTATCATCATCAGAATCATCAATAGCTTCATCCAAAGAAAAATCATAAGCTTCCGGACTCAAAACACCTCCTTAAATAAATTAAAATTGACATTTATTATTATTTTAAGATTAGTTTAGTTTATTCTAACCAACCAGTTGAAAGTGAAGAAGTAGATCCTGCTTCTACTAATGATCCAGTGGATAATAAATGCTGTCGTGGTTCTCTACGCTGCCATATTTGTTCAAGTCCAAGATGTGTAGGAGCTGATGACGAAAGATTTCCTCTTGATCTGCTAGCCAACATAAATCCTGATCCCGGAACACTAGTTCCAAATATAGGAGGAGATAAACACTTCTGTGATTTTGTTTCCTTCTTCAACAGTTCTTGTAGAGTTATTGAATTTGTTGGACCTGGAGAAAGTGATGAATGTGAACTGCAACTGTTTGGTGAAAGTTGAAAGCCAGACTTTGAAGAACTTGGTCGGTTAACAGGGCTAGTATTCACGACATGATCTATTAAGTATGAACTCATTAATGGGACTGCATCAGGTACTTCAGATTTTACTGAATCAGGTGGCAATAATAGATCATCAAAATTGAGGTCTTCTAATAAAGATTCACCACCATTGGCATTTAATTCAGCTAATGTGGGTCCGTGAAGCAAATCGGATTGATCCACCTGCATTAGTAAACCAATGATTAATACATTTTTATTCATATTTGAATTTAAAAATATTTATACATAATAGAGAAAATGAACATATYATCTTAAAATAAAATTTCAGGTCAATTAAAATTCAATTTTAAGCTTAAAATTAAACAAAGTTAAATAAAAGTTAACTGTAGAAAAACAGAGCCATAGACGCAGGGTTCAACGCTATTTTACAACTTTGAAAGTATATGAATATGTTTATTACATAATATGATTTATTTTAATAACATCTCCTCATATTAAATTCCTGTCTACAGCTCTGCGGAAAATACTTAAAAAAATCTTTGATTATGGTCAAATGGTAATWAAAACTTAACTGTTAAATATTAAATTAAGTTAAACATCAACCTTTAGGTAACTTGATAATGTTTTAAAGTAGGTATATAATATTTAAAGATGGATGAGCAGATAAAATTTCTAAAATAGGCATGTCCCACTACCACACAAATTTTCAAAAAACACATGGAAACAACCACACATACATTTTGATATTACTAATAGTGCATTACTGCAAGGTCTAAACATATTATTTTTTTAATTCTCAAATGTTACCAAAACTTCATTATAATAAGTCCAAATATTAATATCGGTTACACTTAAAAAATCATAATATGATATAATAGATGATTTTGTTCATGCAAAAATCTATATGTATATTTTATACAATTAAAAATGTATTGATGATAATGACAATTTATAATAATTTGAACAAAATTATATCAATTAACTTAGTTATAGGTATGTGTAGTAAAAATTTACACATGGGCTAAGAGTTTTACTGAATTAGTGTGGTAATGGAAAATGTTGTATATAAAATTAAAATACATTTTTAGATTATTGGTTAATTTCATCCATCTTAAATTATATTAGTTAGTAAAAAAGATATAAATAAATTAAACAAACATTAATAATCATGGAAAATTTTTATTGAYGTTTTAAATATTTTTACTGATTTAATATAAAATTGTTTTAATATTTGTTTCTAATATTTAAATATTTACCTAGTTCTAATAAATATAGTTGGGCAGAGGTTGATGTAAGTAATAACACATTTTACTAAAAATCCCAGTTAGCAATGTGATATTTTGCACATACCATGATATAACTTCAATGTAAGGCACCAGATAAGAAGTCCTACTGTGTCATATTTGGACTTCATTAATTAGGTATGTATATTTAAATTGAATAGGTACCTTATTTTTGATAACAAATTTGGTCAACTATAAGTAAGTTATTATAAAAGAATCAACTTGGAGTGGTATAATCAAATTCATAAGTACACATGGGTACATTTTATCCTTCTTTATGAAACTTTTTTCTCTGTAAAACATATATCTGAATAATAGAATATATAATTTATATTTTTATAATTTCAATGAATATAATCATTCAAAAATATAAATAGTAAGTACATAATATGATAGGCATTTAGTGATCAACAGACATAGAAATAGAAAATATAATTAAAACAAAAAATGTTAGATAGTGTACTATAATAATTTAAGAAGGGTCTTGACACCCTATCATGGTCTGTAAAATAATATATGCCTGACTATAGTTGGTAGGTAATATAAGGTATACTAACCAATATCATCAAATTGCATACATGTTATTAACAGAGAACAATGAAATATCATGTTGGCCTAGAGTATAACACATATTTGATTTGTTATATCAACTAGGTAACTTTATCAGTAACAAACTATTCTATTATACAAAAAATTTTGCGTAACGACTACTATTATATAATCATAACCATAGTAAAGAATATTTTAAAGTAGGTACTAAATTAGTTAGTACAYAGTTTGTACGACTAAACAGAATAATGATACTGTCCATTAACTGTGTGGACTGCGTTTAGAATTTTCCATTTTTTCAATATTCGCCATATTAATGTTTAGGTAAAATGTTTCATTAGTTATTATTAACTATATTAAAATAACCAAATAATCTATGGTGGAATAATTGAATCATATAAACTAGTTGATATACTGTAGTAGGCAACAGGTTAACCACACGACTAAACAGAATAAAAGGAAAGTACAATAGTATCTTTAGAAATTTTAGAAAATAACAAAATTCAACAATTCACAATTAATATCTTTTCCACTAATTTTGTATTCTTGATTAAGAAAATAAAAGCATTTGTTTACTTTGCACAATTACCAGAATAGGGAATAGAAACATAAAACCGTCGACGATTTTTCATAAGTTAATTTCTGCTATTATCATGTAAGTAAAAAAACATTTCATTTTTAATTAAATATAATCATATTTGAACAAAATCAAATTTTTGAATATTGTGAAGTGTTTTTCATGTAAAATATGGAAATAAAAATTGTTTTTCTCTTTCTAAACGAATAAAAATGTGATAGTTTTGTTGTATTTATTATTAAATTATTGTAAACAATTTAATAATATAAAAATTTGAGGTAAATACGCAATTTTTTTTATTTAATAGAATAATTAATTMTTTAATTAATATCACAAAATAAAATATATAATTTATTATATGCCAAAATAATATATAATTGTATTCTTTCAATATTGACAAGACTGGTTTGGCCTTATTTCACCTACCATGGTCAGGCATATTATACACTAAACACGGCAAATAATTTACAAGAATTCATCCAAACAAGTAGTAATAACTAAAGTTTGGATTTAAATGCATTTACATGTTTTCTTTGTTATTAACATAATAATTGTACAAAACTTCCCTATGCTACAAATAAGTTTCAGACGTATACCTTGCTTATAACAAATTATTATCAAGGCACTTTTGTTAAACATATTTCATCTATTTTTAGTAAATTAATAATAACCAATGACAAAAACCGAAAATTGYCTTTCAGTTAAGAAGAAAAATTAGTATTCTTAAATTTATTTTAAGGGAAATTACACAATGTGTAATCTGATTTAAAAATCCATCCAGATTGTCTCGTGAACACAACCGGTTGATTACACAAAGATCTCAATTTTATTAATTCAACAAAAGTCAACCCATTGAAAAAACATATTTTCAGAATAATAATGTTACTATATTACCAACAAAAAAATGTAATAATTTTTAGTGTTAAGGACAAGAATAGATATTTTAATTTTTAAAGCATTAAAATCCAAACCCTAATTAGGTTATAAGGTTATAACTAATAAAGCTAAACATGCCTATCTATATTCAAAAATAGCTCTCATATAAATTCAACAAATTAATAAGTTGAGTTATTTTATCTTAAGGTAAATAATTAATATACATCTCGGGTAAATTATTTGTGATATTAGTCAATTCAATTATTATTTGAATAAAGAGAAGAGAAAATAATCCTGGAAAAAATCACAAATATTGAATTACATAATGATATTAATTTTATTATTATATATTTTTGATTGTTCATTAACCTAATTAAAAGTGCATTAAACATTATATGAATTACACAGCACTAATTTAAAGATTTGTTCATAGATATTTATACAAAATYTTTTTGATACTTGTTGAATTGTTAAATTATTTTATATAAGTTATTTATCTATAATCTCACAAAATAAAGAATGAAAAAACAAATGGTGGCTAATTGCCAACAAAAATTTACCAATTTTAAAAAACTATTAAATAATATAAAGAGGCTTATTCATAACAACTTAAGATAAAAAAAAAATTTGGAACCATGTAGGTACMAGTATAAAAGATAATCAAAATATGTTTTTTAATTCTAAAGAAAATAATAAAGGGAAGATAAAATTTAAAAATAAACATAACACAAAGGTTTAAATGAAATAATAATAATTGTCTTACCTGAAAAATGTCTTCATCCATTTTGATGAAAGACATGTCATCAGATCTTCCTATCCACCCATGATCATTATTTGTGAAAAAATTTTGATCTGCATTATTGACTACCATAGGATCTTGAATAAGATCATTAGTTGTATCAAACAATTCAAATCCATAATCTTGTAATGAATTAAGATCTCCATTCTTCCTTATTGGTATAGGTACTCCTAATGATGAGCTTTCTGTAGGATAATCAGCTTTCAACACACGTTTAGTTTCCATTGTGCCAAAAAAGTTTGTATAATCTTTATTATTCATTTTTCCTTCTTTATAACGCAATACACAGAAGCAATATTTTTTTTTCTAAGAATGAAAAATGAAATCACTGACTTATTTAAGTGTTTAGGATTCTTTAAATTAATTGGTTTCTGAATTTTATCAATTTTTATTCGTCTGAAAAAAAGTATATCAAAACTAAAATCAATGAAAGTAAAAAATGAGGTACAACAAAATCTTATTATTTAAACAATAGTATTTTAGTATACTAAAATATCATAGGTAGATAAACAACTAGATAACTGTTTCCTTCTTATCATTGAAGCAGTCAGTCAGTCATTTACCATGAACTAAGGATAATATCTTAGTTCACACATATTTTGCCAAGTAGACAATGTTTACAAAACAATATTATCACACTATATACTACTATGTACGTTGTACATGAATAAATTAATAAATATAAACATTGCCTGCCGACTTAAACATTGGCAACAACTGTGGTATAAAGACAGGTATCTAGGTGTTGTATATATCTATTATATTTGTTAAGACCAATAGAATTTATGGGAGGTTAACCGCTAACACATAATTCATGWACAAACTTTTGAGCATTTTAGGTAAGCAATTACAAGATATTCCAGATTTCAAAATTAAATAAATATTTTTACCCTATGATATAGTGAACAATAATAATATGCTGAGGCATTCTTAAATAATATTTTATTCTATACATTTGATACCAAGCTAATTTAATTAGGTATTAATCTTTATCATAAAATAATCAGAAATAAATAATAAACAAGTCAAAAATATCAATCCTTAATATTTTCTATAGAATCTGCATAGAAATTAATATAACTGTCAATAGATAAATTAACAAGCCAAAATATAAAATTCTCTGTTTATTAAAATATACTAATAAGAGAATATACAATCTATAGAATAAAATATAAATTAAAATAAGTACCCTAAATACAATAGGCAACTAACTATTCAAAGTAGTTATAGTGAAAAAAATATTGAAATTTCCTTTTTAAGGTATACTTATTATTAATTTTGAGATAAAAAAATTTAAAACAGTTTAATGCAGGTTGTAGAACATTTCCTTCTATTTGGTAATTAATGAATAACAATCAAATTTGGTTGAATTCTAGCAACCTAATATTAAGTTATATAATAATCATATTCACTAATCATGGTGAACTGTTTTATAAATTATATAGTATCTACAAATACCAAATAAAAAATGTTAGTACCTAGGTAAAAAATAACATTTTTTTTTTTCACGAGTTAAGACAGTTAAAATATTTGATATTTACATTATTATTATGAAAAGAAATGGGACAGCTAGAATTGATTTAAGTAACTAGAGTAGGTATATTACATAATATTAWTTAGGAAATATATGAAATCACGAAATCAAAGAATGAAACGGTACCTAAATATTACACATTCCAGTAAAACAGGTATGGATCAGTTTATAAGTTTGAGCGCACACAACACTGTTGTCTAATACTTGTCTGTTGGTATTCGCGCATAGTGCATACCTCGCGGCGTAAAAATAAACAAATAATAATATATTATTATAGTCTAAAACACATTGTCGTTAACAATTGAACAGCTGTTTTTAATTTATTCACCGCCGTCCACAAYAGACGTATGTGCAATAGCGCAATTCATCTATATGCCTACCCAGTACCCATACTAATCGGTAAAACACAAAAATTATTAATTAAATGTATAATAGCTGTCAGACAAAATGTCGTTGCGCGTTAAACTGTCGCCGTTGGGATAAATATGGTGTACGTACCAAATAACACCTCGGAGCCTGTACCTTCCTTGTAGGGTTCGGTTGGTCAACCGTTCGCGAAAAAATTTGCATATCGAGCACCGCGCAACAAGTCGAGCAGACGATAATTATCGCCTATCATCGCGRACGTTTCACACACGGGGTCTCGTGGACGTGCACTACCACCACTATCATGCAACCCATAGGTCGCGAGCGATTAATAAATTTTCGACAGCAGAGTCCGCCGAAAGAGTCGAAAGGCTATCCGATTTTAAGTTTAAACTAAACAAGGCACGCACGCACGCACGCACGCTCAACAACGCGGTCAACATGCACACGCGCACACGTAAAAATACCAATGCGGACGATGATAAAAAGTAGTTTATACAACTTACTAGCATGATACATAACGTATTATATATTATACTATATACTTATATTACAAATATATATGTATATATTATGAATATGTATGCACGTATACGCAAGCACGCGCCGCGCGCGCGCGTATTTACATGTTTTACATGGACGATATAGGCCACGCCACGGGCTCGCGGACGTTACGGGCGCGTGTGCGTGCGCGAGTCGGGGCTATTACGGGGTTATCAAGGACACGCGATTATGATAAGAGGCCACGAGGATGGATAATGATTGTTGCGGAACAATAATAATATTCTTTGTTTATATTTACCTTTTGTCGACTACAGGCAACGGACGACCACGTCCAGCAGCAGCGGGACCGCAACGGCGGCGTTGGCGGCGGCGCACGGCGCTCTGAGCGGTAGTGGGTCCTCTTTCGGCGACGGCGGTGACGATTCGACGCGATGACGACTACAGGCGGACGACAAAGAAACGCGCGCGGCCATGACTTTCGACGGCACGGCGCGACGATGGCGAGCAGGTGCTCCCCCGCGGAATTAATAATCGGTCTCCGAATTCGATGTCSAACGTCTCCCGGAGCCGAGTTTACAGGCACTGCGTATCAGGACGAAACTAAAACACGGAAAACGGCACACAGACACCGCGTGCCGACGATCGAAAATTAAAATAATATAATCAACGTTCGCGAGTATGCCAGCTGGCCACTTGTTGGGCACGAGTCTCAAATCGATGAAAACATTGAAAACCGTACGCGGCGACGACCACTGTAATACTGCATAATTGTGTATAAAACACCAATTTCTGAATCGATAATTAACCGAGGAAAACAAAACAAAAATATTACACTATCGTCAACAATATTATTTTTATTATTATTATTTGTACRGTATTCTGCGCGGGCACAAGATTACGACGATAATAATAATTGTTAGTGGCGTGTGCGAGAAACCCGTTGGTCCGTGTTTACATCGATAGTACACTGTTAGTAGCTTACTAGCACCGCATTGGCCGTGAGACGAAAGCAAAAATAATAATAATAATGATAATGTTAGGGCACTACAGATAAAATATACACGATTATGTATAGTGCTTTAATAATGTATGCCGTGTAGGGGGGAAAATGGTTTGAAAAAAATAATAATAAACAAACATCTTGTTGGTATTTTTCGGACAAATGAAATCAAAGGTCACGATATGACGAAAACGCGATCGATGGCGCTCGACTTGTTTACATACACGCCTAGCCAATAGCTAGCCATGTCTCGGCCCTCCCCTCTACTATTGGTGCGGAATGTTTTCGATTTTTTTAACTGATGACGGACAAACCACATGCACATGGTATGCCTTAACATTTTTATAATTTCTACTATTGCTTTGCCCTACATGTGGGTCGCGGAGATTACGGTTTTTTTTTCTAATCACTTACGCGACGACWTGCATTTTTTTTGCTGAAATTTAATTTCGTATTTTTGCGAACAAGTAAAAACTATCGTTGCCAACCGTACCATAATTTAAATCGTTTGTGATTCATACGATTACGATATATTTCTCATGATATTTATCGTACAAGATAATATACAATCTGATGACCATGAAGATTTTTGAAATTTATTTACAAAATCAGATCTTCTGAACTACTAGTAAACCGCTGCGTGTGTATTTATAACAGTTTTAAATACATTAAGGCAATCAATACCCATTTGTAATTATAATTATTAAAGACAAATTTGAACATTAATTAATAATAGAAGAAAATGTCCCCCATTGACAGCCAAACCTTTTATTCTTATGCTAAACATAAACCTTGTACTACAAGAAACTACATAGTCAAGCAATGAAGCTGCAATGAGTTTATGGGAACTGGAATTGGAACTTAAATGTCGCTTTTTTCTCAAATCATTTATTCAATTTCATAGGCGTAAATTTGGCTTGCTAGAAGGGGGGGGGGCTAACACTAAGACTATAATTTATAACAAGGCTATATTTTTTTTAGGGGGCTAAGCCCCCCCCCCGATTTACTCCTATGTTCAATTTGTAATTTGTATGCTCGAGGCTAGTGCAGGGTAGTAAGATATACATATCAAATATTAGATAATTGCATTTTATTGTCAAGACAGGCTAGGCTACACCATGACTAAATAAAGCCATGGGCTACACCACTGTATTTTTTTGTCAAGACAACGTACTGCGTACATCACTGAATGTTTTATCAGCTTACCACAACCACCGTGGTTCGTAATGCCGTTGATATGCCATGGAGAAAATATATGTTTGTTTTTTTTTTGTAAGTGTTGCGGAGTAATTAAATGACTAATGAGGGGTACATCATCCCACTAACAGCCTGCAGGTAGTCCTTCTCCACAAAATAATATTGCTCATTGAGTATAAGGCATTAAATCTATGGTACCTAATAATTCCCAATATGGTCTTGAGACAAGAATAATATACCGTTTTGTTTATTTTGTGAATTCCTAACTTGTTAGACAAGACGGTGATAGTGTGAAAGCATTGACCACGGATATAGATACTATAATGGCGTTGACCAAACATAATATGCACAATTAAAAATATAAATGTAATAAGAGATATCTCAGTTCATAATAAAAATTAATATACTATATAATTATATCATGGGCCATGATGGTTTTCAAAATATGTGCAACGCAATGATAAGAATTACACAGTGGCACCATGATTATAGATAATATCTAGTATCAATGGCCATATTATCACACAACAGATTAAATTTATATTTACATTTAGTATAAATAGTTTGTTCTTTGGTAGAAATCTGTGGCGGTTATCTACACTAGTGGATATTTATTTTTATTTTTTTATTAATGATACCCTCGGCAACATGGGCCATTGGGTTTAACGTGAGAAATATATTATATAAATGGGAAAAAAAAATTACATGAATTGTATCTATATCTAAATTAAACTAAATTTTGGTTAGAAGATTGGCGGCTGTGATGAATTGTATGATGCTRGTAATGGATTGAGGATTGCTGTTACTAGTGGATATTATAGTAATAATTATACATAGAACAATTATGGTGAATTCATCACCACATTTTTTTTAAAAATAATTGACGGTCAGCAGTAAGTTTAGCACTCATCAGCAGACAGCACTGCAGCAGCCTGCTGTTGTCAACCACGCTGCGGTGATAAGAAATTAAGAACAATAAACTACAGTCATCATAAATAGTAAATAGTAAATATAATAATATAGAAATTGCCGCGTATGCCTATTTCGGTGATCGCCAATCGGTGGTTTAGACCCCTTTTAGTTACGATTGTAGTTCATGTGACTGACCTTACCAAATTTACTACATAGTACATACCAACGGAAAGCGTGTAAAATCGTTTCTCAAAGGCCAAAATGGCAACTGACGATAAAGGATACACTATTACTTACGACTCTGTCAAAGTAAGTAACTACCACWTTGTTGTGTTCGTAGGTAGTCGTTAATATGTAACACTTTTATATTATAATATATTTTATTATCAAATACGATAATAAAAAAGTGAATACCAGCAATATATTACAATTTATATCTATTTTATGAATCTACGAACAAATATCCGGTAAAAAAGACACGGGAAAAAAGTCCGATTTATTTATTATACATATGCCGTACAAGAAAACATTAATGTTATTAAAAATAATAGCAATAATTTATAATACAGTTATTACAATCAATATAATAGGTAGGTACAATAAAAATAAAAATATGACATTATAATTTTGTTTTTAATTTAAATATTTCACCCATTTTAAAAACATTGAATTACACAAAATGTAGGGTTACAGCGTTTACGATACAAAACATTAACTGAGCATTTGGTAAAATAACCAGGGTAAGTGAAGATAATTATAATATATAGGTAAAAAAGATTAGATTCCTTTAATGGATACTACTGAAAGATATTAGTATTATAGTGACCCAACTTAATAAAGTCTCCAACAAACGATAAACTACACCGATACTAAATAAACCAGACTTTTATTACATCGGACATTTATGTAGAATACCCTATTTTATGTTAGTTTGTTGCTTAAAGAGTAATTATTAAACCACTTATTACAAACATTATCTATTCAGATTTAAAATTATTCAACATCCAATATCATAGCCCATTATTAAAAATAAAAACCCAATACTGTCTACAAACAATGACTTAACCATGTAAAATTACATAGACCAATATTGTTTTTACATAGATACCTTATGGAAAATTTAAGATATTGTATGTCTACATTTATATTAAAACCTCATTTTTCAACACCTGTTAACTTTAATATATTAAAATATAATTAAATWGAATTTGTTTTTGAATTACAATACACTTATTTTAGGGCAAGTGTCTTGTTGCAACAAAACACTTTAAAGTAGATGATTTAATTTTGGCAGAAGAACCATTTGTGTCTTGTCAATTTTCTTGGAACAGTCTTTATGGTTATCGTGCTTGTAATCATTGTCTTTGGTAAGTTTTACCATTTTGTAGCATTATCATTTTGTTTCTACAAATTATTATAAATTTAATGATACAGCCCTTTAGAAACTGTTACGGAAAATATTATCAGATTAACAAATGCGGCTATAACAGAAGTCCCCTTTGAGGAATATTGTCCTGTAACTGATAAAATATGTAACCATGTACAATGTGAATCTTGTAAAGTAAGTATCATTTACTTTATTATAATCTTAAAATATTACACTTTGATTAACCCTTAACTTGGCAAACCTTGGAAATTTGAAAGTTACTATTTTTGACTAATTTGAGGTTACTAAGTTAAAAAATGGCAACAACAAAAAATCTAGTTTTTGAATTATGAGTTGTAACTGCTAAAAAAAGTAATTAGTTTAAACATATCGCATGATGAAAAAAAGGCATATTACCAACAATACCAACCACTGTGTACAAAATGAGAAGAGTAAAGTTTTACCTATTTGTTAACAGACCAACATTTAAAAACAAAATGTCACATTTTTGTTTAATTTTTCAGTCAAAACTTGTATTCATGGATTTTATATTTACTTAGAGATTTTAAAACTATAATATAATTATGCAAAATATTTTTTTAACATGTCGACTGTCGGTGGTCACTTGTTATTTTCAAATTTTATACTTTTGCAACCGCCGGCTGCCACAGTTGATCATTACTACCATTTCACATGACCGCCCACTGCTTAATTGAATATGGTTTTATATTATACACATATCCCTAGCGCTACAATAATTTAGCAAAAAAATCACCATAGCGTAGCGGGAATCATTACAAATTTTTGATATAATAAATATATTTTTGAACTTATTTCAAATGCATAGTATAATTATAATATACAAATTTGGAATAACACTAAAGATTTACTTGATGTACGATGATGATACATCGTGTGGCCGCATGGCAGTCAACGTATTTAGTGTTTCCTTTATTAAAAACCAATACATTAAATCATAAAATAACAATGTTATCATAACAATTTCCTCATTGGATAATTACACAAAATGTATATATTACTTTACTGCTTGGCAGCCAGATTCTAATTAACAAAAATTATGTATGAATATTAGGTTTGGTATTGCAGTTCTACATGTTTGGAAACGGCCTATAATCGATATCATCAGCTTCTTTGCAGACCAGACAGTAACGATCCACTACATTATCTAGAAGAATTATGGAGGTATTTTAATTACTTAACTAAATTTATTTATAATTCCAATTATKTAATCCAACTTAAAAAGAAAGAAACATTCTTGGTAGATAAAAGGTTATAAGTATTAATTAAATAATTTATAAAATTAATAAGACATTACTCATACTAAATGTTTGTGTTTTATACTTGGTTGCATCAAAAATGTATTATTTTAATGAACCAATCATAGGCCACTAAACCTAACGTTGCTGAAAGGTGTATGCGTCGACAGTGTTTATTCCATTGGGCCAGCAATGTGTTTATGCGTCATTAACATGTGCTTTTGTATCCGCCATAATTTTATTAATTTGATTTTTATAATCTCTGAAATGAATACTGGGTGTAAGCAATATGCTTTAAATTTAAATTTATAATTGGTATAGGCTACCAAGGGAAGAAGGTGTCGGAACCTACTGTCTCAAAATTAAAATTAGCTTAACTTAAAATTTATGAACACAAAATAGGTAGTGTCACCAATGGGTGGCTTCTTCCTTCRAAAAATTCATATGTAAATACCCTATGCACATTTGCTTATTGTTCTAGTTAAGAACAGATTGTAAATTTCTTATTAAACATAATTGGTATAAGTTTTCTTTACTTTTAGATACGGATAATTAATGTTTCTTACGGCTTTTCCATGACAATATATAYAGGTGTCTCCGCAAGGATTTACCCATTGCGATATCTCACAAAATAATGGAGATATCAAAATTCTAGTTTTATAATAAGATTCACAGTGATAAAAACTACAATTATTTCATTTTTAAATTAATTTAAATGTTTTTGTAAAAAKTTTTAAAAAAAATTATTTTTTTATTTAACGTTTTCCATAAAAATTAAAGATAGCCATGTTGTAGAGTTTATTTTTCTGAAAATATTGACATTTCTAAAATTTATTTCCATTAATTTCCTGATTTTTGATATTTTTTCTAGTTTTGAAGAAATACAATATGATTATAAATTTATAACTATTAGGAACACTGAAAGTATTTGGCCGATCATATGGGAATGTGCGGTGCGGCAAGTCACATGTTTGATAACGTTATGGTGTTAAATAATTCGCAATTTTTCTCGAAACTAAAAAAAAGAAATATTAAATTTCAGGAAATTTATGAACATAAAATTTTAAAACGTCAATATTTTCAGAAAAATAAACTATAAAATGGCTATCTTTATTTTTTTTTTTTGGAAATAATTAAATATAAGAATATATTTTTTAATTTTTTTACCAAAACATTAAAATAAATTAAAATATGAAACAATTGTAGTTCTTATCCCTGTGAGTTTTATTACAAAACCAGAATTTCAATATCATAATTTTTTCGGGAGATATCGCAATGGGTAAATCGTCAAGGGACATCCTGTATAGGGTATGCATACAGAGTGTATATTAGATATATTATACATATTTCTACTAATATTTTTTGATAGTATTAGATATTATAATAATAATAAATAATAATCATTCACAAATTTAGAACAACTATTGTAACATATTAAATCATGTGATATATCTACTTTGCCACTAGTTTAATTTAATTATTTTAATTTTGCGTTATCCATGAAATGCGTCACGGTATGAACAGGGCATTGCAGTGTAACTGCCGAAATCACGAGCGGCGACGAAAGTGTTAAAGGACAATTGGCTCACTATTGATTTATTTAATGTTTAGTGTCATGCAGCCCAACATCATAGTAATAACATTACTTATTTGTTTATTATATCATGTATAGGAAAATGCATTATCCTCCTGAAAGCCACAACATCATGCTATTGTGTCGTTTGCTGGCTACAATTGAATTATCTGCATCACCACAAGAAGCTAATCAATTAGTTTCTACTGTAAATTAATTCTCTATTACTTATCTAAAGTATAAAATATACTTATTCAATATATTTTTATATAGTTTTGCCATCGAACAGAAAATGAAAATGAAAATTTAGTTCTTAAAATGGTTGGAGAAAAGTATGTTGATCAAATCGAACATCTTCGTTTTGGTGTTCTCAAGTCCATGCCAGTTAGAGAATCTAGTCAAGTAAAAAAAAATATATTCTACTTCTTAACTAATTAATCAGTTCATCATAATTAAATACTTTTAGTGGCTAACTCCAGCCGGCTTTAAATCATTATTTGCATTGGTTGGAACAAATGGACAAGGTGTTGGAACGAGTGTTTTTCATCAATGGGCAATTAATTGTAAAAAACATCTTTCTTCTGATCAAATGAAAATATTTGATCAATTTTTAGAAAATGCTTATGATTCAATGGAAGAAGGTTATTTTTTTTCTATTTAAAATAATTTGTTATACTTTGATTATGGTCTTTGTTTATAGGACTGTTGAACTTTTATTGTTTATATTATTTAAATGTTGTCTGACAATATATTCATATATTTTATAAAATGTATATTTGAAATATTATAACCACTATCACCAATATATCACATCCTTAGTTTCTGCATTCTCCAATAATCTGTCTAATATATAATTATTACATTATTCTGTATTACTTTTTGTTTTAAATAGCTGTTGGCGTGGATTTTCTAGATAATGAAGGTTCTGCTTTATTTCAAACACATAGTTCAATCAACCATAGTTGTTTTCCAAATGCAGCAAGTGTTTTTGATGGTAATCATGTTCTGAGATTGGTTGCTATTAGAATGATTGAACCCGGTGATGAAATTAATATTAGTTATATTGCTCCATGTGAATTAGACCATAGCAGACATACTAGGCAAAAATATTTACAGTATGTTAAATTCATATTATTAATTATTCATTATTCATAATATTTACATTGCAAATTAATGACCTTTATTTGTTTTATTTAGACAAAATTATGTGTTTACTTGTCGGTGTATTAAGTGTGAGGAGCAAATTAATGATCCAGACGTAACAAGTGATGATGATTCAGAAATGGAAGATGATAGTAGTACTTGAGTATTTTTTTAGAGTTTATAACTTTAAAATAATTCTTTTTTTTACACTATGTTTTTTCAAAATTTGAATTATTTGAGTCTGAATATATAAAATACTTGGTAGTTTTTTTTGTTTTTTTTAGCCCTTTAAATATATTGAATGTTCAGAAAAAGAAAACAAAAAGAAACTAAATTTATTATGAATTAATTTGTCTTATTAATACTTCAAATAAGGAGTTTTATTTTAATCAAGATACAATTGTTTTAATATTTTAGGTTACAGAAATTGGTTTATCAAGAACAATCAAATTGTTGCTGTGTTCTGCTAATTCCATTAATGATACTCTTCCGCGTTTTTTGATAAATGAAGCAACTGCATTAAGTTCAGATTGTGATATATATATAAACTTTCCTCTATCATCAATTACACCTAAAATTGATATAATAATCAATATAATAATAAAAAAATGTATAATTATCCACGTTACATACCAGTTAATAATCCTTCTTCCAATAAACTTTGAATCCTGTCTATTACGATTTGAGTTTTTAATTTAAATTTTAAAGCAAGCTCATCCAGAACAATTACTTTATTCTCCTGTAATTAACAAAAAAAAAAATCAATTCATAGTCATTGTTCACATTTATTTCTTTAAATTCTAATTCCTCAGTTGATTAGAGTACCAAGGTTCTGCAGAATAAGAGTACCTACACCGATTTTGTGTATTAATGGTGGAAATTGTACCTCCTGACAATAACAAATAACTATAAAATTCTTAGTAAGAGCTCTATGAAGCTGTAGGCTTTACTCTGCTGTATGGTATACTCTTATTCTGAATATAGTGTAAAACTGTAAACCATCAAAGTTAGTAACTCATTGTAAGTTATAGTGTATAAACTATAAAGTAATATTATTTATTAACATATAAAAAGTTGCGCTAATTTATTATTACAATCAATTTACCTATCATAAGAGTTGTAATATGGAATTTGTTTCAGAAATAAAATTAGGTAAATTGTTATACCTAAATCAGAATAATGTAAATTAGTTAAAATGTGATAAAATAGATTATCATTGAAGTTCAGATTTAATTTTACACCTGTGTGTATTTCCTCCATGTTACTAACATACAACATAGCAAAACAAATATGTTAAGCAGAGTTTACATAGTGTTGTAGAAATTCCCTAATATATTAATGTTAACAAAGTAATTCTCAACATTTTTGTTCACTGTACTCTTTTTGTGTTTCATAACAGTCATAACACAACCTGTATAAATGCTTTAAAATTTCAATAATTTTGGAGCATACTGGTTGAGAAACACTAATTTAACATGATAAATGCTTATTAGCATCATTTATTCATACATTTTTTTAATTGGTTATAATTTGAACAGTGTTAGATAAGCGTAACTTGGCAGGGGCAATAGGATGTAACTGCCCACATGACCAATTGAACTATACTATTAATTGATTGCAGGCTGTTCTAAGGTAGTGAGACTCGTATCTAATATTATATTAATTTGCTACACATAAACAGCTAAATATAATAGTGTATTAATATATTAAGATTTGAAAAAATTATTTTAACCCCCAAGTGAAAAGAATCCAGTTACGCCTATGATCAACGTCATTGAGTGTATGTTATAGAATTAATGTGCATAAATCTTTTTTAATTGAATTATTTTGTTCATACCAACCAAAAAAACAAAACATTAAATTTTATAACAGACCAATAAATTAAACACTGTAATTTGGAATGAACAACAAAATGGATTCTTCTGGCCAAAAATTATATATGTTGTAAATTGAGAGATAGAGACAACACATGTAGGTATGGAAACCACTTAATCTGATTATAACTATTTTTAGTATGTTACCACCATTCAAAATGGTTTGATTACAAAATTAATAATTAAGGTTTCTAACCTTAATATATTCAATGAATTGAGTTAATGTCACTCCTTCGTCCTCTAATGTTTCTTCATAACCTTCTTCTTCTATGCCAAATGTCTCTTTTATTTGTAAGTACTCTAGATGCTCTTTTTTAGCCTTTTCTTCTTCAATTTTCTTTTCTAGTGCTAATCGCTCTTGCTCTTGTCGCTTTTCTTGATCTTCTTTAGCTTTTCTTTCTGATTCTTCTGCATCTTGTTTTTTTTTACGATCTTCACGTTCTTGTAAATCAGCCTATAAACAAATACATTGTTTAAGTAGGTAATTAAAAATATGCTTATGGGTGTGTTCCTTGTGGATTTACCCACTGCGATGTTTCCYTGAAATAATGGAGATAACGTAATTCTGGTATTGTAAATAAGAACTATAATTTCATATTTTAATGTTTTAGTAACAAAGTTAAAAAGATATTTTTAAATATAATAATTTTCAAAAATATTGATGATGGCCATTTTGTAGTTTATTATTGTGCAACTATTGACATTTCAAAATTTTATCTTCATTAATTTCCTGATTTTCAATTTTTTTTTTTAGTTTCGAGAAAAAATGAGAATTATTTAACACAGTAGTGTTATCTGATCATTTGAAACGGTGTGCTGCGCAAGTTTTCATAGGGCTGGTCAAACACTTTCAGAGTGTCTAGTTAGGTATAATCATATTTTATTTCTTCAAAACTAGAAAAAAATATTAAAAATCAGAAAATTAATGAAAATAATATTTTCAAACGTCAATATTTTCAAAAAAATAAACTCTGCATAAAGAGTATCTTTATTTTTTGGGGGGGATATAAATAAATAAAAATTTTTTTTAATTTTTTACCAAAACATTAAAACAATTAAAAATATTGAGTTCTTATCTCTGTGAGTCTTATTAAAAAACCATAATTTTTATATTTCCAATATTTCCTAAGATATCACAATGGTTTAAATCTTCGCAGGACATCTTGTAAATAGGAATAGTAAGCTGACTTCTCGTTTCGCCTTTTTCTCTGCTTTAGCTTCCAATTTTGCTCGTTTCTTAGCTCCTAGTTTTAGATCTGAAGCAGCCACAACACTTGGCTCGATTGTAGTATCGTCATTTTCAGCACTTTCATTTCTAGGTTCTAAATTAGGATTATGAAATTTATTTTTATTTTTTTGATTTAATTATTTATGTACCTGTTTTTTTTAAAATATTTTTATGAGTGATTCAACAATATTTATTAATTACACTTTAATAATTTGATATTATCATTAGACTTACCAACTACATTGCGATTGTTTCGGCGTAATGTATTACGATTTTGTAAGCGAACTCCCGGTCTAGGTCTGACTAWAGGATCATCTCGTATAACATTCTCTGGCTCACCTAAAAACAATTGTATAAGATTCTTTTTGTACAAATATTATGTTAATATGAAAAAGTACTATAATATGAACCCACTTTGAAAAAACTTATATCGAAATATAAAACCGAATAACCCAACAATGACCGATGCAGAGAATATCGAGAGTAAAACAAAAAGATCCATCGTACAAACAATAATGGTATGATAAATAATTTAACTCAATACCAACATCTCAATTCGCTTCCAACCGAAGTCTCAAATTTCAATAGATATTAGATTTTACCACAAACAAATAAATATTATTATTTTACTTTAAAAGATATCAAACTTCAAACTTAATTTTTAGCAGAGAAGAAAGTTCAAGAAAAACCACTGGGATTATAGATTGATAACTGTCGTATTATCATACCGTCGAAGCACGTCATAAAAGGCCTTATCAATAATAGAATGTTAAAGACGAAAAATATTTTAATGACGTGTATTCATATTTTCTCGACGACMAACATTGTTTCTAAGTTCATAGTATACACACCGCCAAAATAATAATTTCTGACTGTAATAACTTTTTCATATATGTTACCAATTTATTTTGTCCAAAATCGAAATAGTTTAAGTATTATTCTATTCTAGTTTGATGTCAAGGTTAAAAGTTTAAAGAAAAATGATTTACTACCCCCTTTTTCTGTTTAGTGCTTTTTTTTTGGGTTCAGTTCAGTGTCTGTACTTCCATATTGGCGAAACAGAACGTAAATGTTTCATCGAAGAAATTCCCGATGAAACCACCGTAGTCTGTAAGTAATATTACAATTCACTTTACATATTTATGACTGATTACATAAGCAATCACTAAATATTTAATGAATCAATAGTGAACTAATGGTCCCTTTGAATTAGCCCATTAAATTTTAGTGGAACGTTAAATGAATATTTGTACCTATTAGTATATTAATCTCAATTTGTTTTCAGCACATTATAAAGTAGAACTCTTTGATGTGAGGACCGGTGGTTTCACTCCTCCTACCCCAGGCATTGGTATGAACGTTGAAGTCAAAGATCCAGATATGAAAATAATTTTATCTCGAGTATGTATCTTAGCCAATGACTATTGTTGTATGGAATACAGTTTCATTCATATCATAATTACAAAAAAAATCTTTTGCACTCCTATAGGTTTACAGTTTCGAAGGGAAAATTTCATTTACATCTCACATACCCGGCGAACATATTATATGTTTATATTCCAATACTACTGCATGGATTGGAGGAACACAATTGGTAAACAATCACTTTGTTTTTAGTATTTATTTTTTACTATTAATCAGTTTTATTAAAATAGAGAGTTCATTTGGATATTCAAGTTGGTGATCAGGCCATTGATTATGCTCAAGTAGCSCAAAAAGAAAAACTTTCAGACTTACAACTCAGGATTAGGCAACTTGTGGAACAAGTTGAACAGATCATCAAGGAACAAAGCTATCAAAGAGTAAATATTATTATATTTATTTATTATTAAAAGTAGTTTATTTTAGAACTTAACTTAAAAGTCAAGTATAACAAATTACAAGAATAACGGTCGAGAAATCAACCATTAACATTTAAATTCCTTAACAAATTTATAGGGGTAATTTACATTTTTTCATATTGGTTGTATTGATTATTTTATATAATGCTTTTTTAAGTTTAGAAACTCTGTAATATCAATTATTCAAATATTAATAAAATCTAATTCCAATATGGCAATCCAACCACCTCTTGCAATATCATAAATAATATGTTTGTTATAGGTAGGTGATTTTATTAAATCATAAAAATTATTGTTGTGTTTTATCTATGTCGACTCTGGGAATTAAAATTAATATTGAGATGGCTTACTCTTTTTTAATCCTTTTAAGATGTGTTAGTATATAAATTATTTTTCTACTATCTTCTTTTTACCCTGAATTGTATCTGTAGAGACATAATATATAGGTAACAAAATAGTAGTATGTTGATTTGGATTTTCYAAWTTATAATAGATATATAAAATTAATTGCTAGTTTAATATTTCTCTTATTAGTCTTAGCTAAGTCTAGAATGTTATTTGCTAAATAAAAATCTATACTTAACTGACTTTTTTTCTAGATAATGTAAAATATAATAAATTTCTTATATTATCTTATATGTAATATGTAAATAAAAATGTTCTGTAGCCTAACCTAACAGACCTTTTTCCCGTTCCGACCACACCCCCCCAGTCACAATGGTGACAGATTACAGAGGTTATACTGTAAGTTTAAACAAATGTCATCAAATAAAAATAAAAGGATTAATTAATTTTGTAGGTAGCAATTAACACATTTTTCAATACTGTTATTTTATATTTAATGATATTTTTTAAGCTATCTTAGTCTATATTAATATTAATAACTTTAATTTTAATAATTACAGTTCCGGGAGGAGAGATTTCGTCAAACCAGCGAGAGTACTCATCAAAGAGTTTTCTGGTGGTCACTCTCACAGTTATTCATACTTTTGGTCATGGGTTTCTGGCAAATGCGTCACCTAAAAAGTTTCTTTGAAGCTAAAAAACTTGTCTAAAATTAATAACTGTTTAAATGTTTTAACAGAAATATAAAACCATCCTCAAATAAATTTTTGTACATTTTGTATATACCATAAAAATTATGTACTCTTTATAACTATTATTAATTCATGGTTTTTCTGAATATATGAATAATTAGAATTATTCGTTTTTATGTATTTTTATTTTTATTAAATAAAATAAAAAATTTAACAGTTTTTTATTTTACAACAAAGAATTATTTGTTTTATATGCAAATGAATACTTGCATTTATGAAAAAAACAAATCTAAACTCTTTAAAAAAAAAGTATCTATTAATATTAAATATATTAACTTCATTGTGTATACAAAACTTAATATTTTTAAGAATAATGAAATATACATTGTATTAAAATAGCAACAGGGGACGAGGGCAATGTTGGCACATATGGCTAAAAAAATTCAACAAAAAAATAAATATWTATGTAGTACATAAGTACATAATGGTATGTACAGAAGAATCAATCTGCTGACATAGATGATAGACTACTGCGAGTAGAACTTCTGTGATAAGAACGATGATGAGAAGGTKGGCTACTATTAATCGGCAACATATTATTTGCAGGCCCAAATATTGCTTCTTGTTCTTCTAACTGTATAGCAAACTGTTCTTCAAGTTTCTGAAATRTAAATTGTTAGTGTTTAATAAAATGGTTTGTTGTAATGTTAGTACCTCTTTCATTTACGCTAAGCCTTTAATAGGCAGAATAAAGAACTCAAACACAGATAACAAAATTTAATCTGGTTTATAATGCAAAATATTGAATATTGTTTGGATAGGCTTTCAACAGGTTTTAAATTAAAATTATTTATGCTGAATATATGATGTTTATACACATTTTTTTTTTAAATTGTTATTTGAGATTGAAATCAATATAAAATAAAATTATTTTTAAGCAATAAATATTAAAACGTGCATTAATTGATTAAAATTAAATTAAGAACAAATTAATATACAGTGTTACTTACATAAAATTTTTATTGCAGCAGCACTCAGGAATAAGCAAGGATAAAAGGATGCAAATAAATTAAGCGTGATTTCATTCAATTTATGGTGTTATTACATGGGTTACAATAACTTTAATATATCATACAAAATATCAAAAGAGTCAGTTAGTATTGTTTAAAATAAATAACAAAATAGAATTGAAGTATACAATAAAAAATTACACTAAATAAAGCTTGAAATTGATTCTATAACCATTAAATAAGCATAATCAGTGCAAATAAATAATAATAAATGCAATAATGTGTTTCAATAACATAATTTATAAGTTGAATACTAAGCATAGTTTTGTTCCTCGTCATGCTTAAATTTAAATTTAAGTAACTTCTACTATTTTCATATTTTCTACATGTAACTTGATGATAAACCACTTAATAA